AAACGTATAGTAGTTGCTGTGCAAAGCGCCAGAGCAACAAAAAATTATAATAAAATATAAATTATAGCAACGACAAATAGCGAATCATCCACAAACACAATAGTGCTTAAAAATAAAGCTGGGTCTACGCAGCGAACAAAATTATCACCAGTGTAGTAGGAGAACTAGTACTTTATTGGGTGGGAAATGAGGCTATCCCAAAACACTAGGGTAATCCGGAGGCGATACGGAGAGGCCGAGAGAATTCCCTTATCACTTTCACTTCGAAATCGGTAGAAGCTCTTCGACCGTTCACGGACCCTTTTTGTTCTGACGACGAGCAACGGTTAGGTAAAACGTAAAGTTAAAGTGATTCAGCAGTTTAACAAGTAATACGTGCGCCCTACGCGAGGCAAGCGCCCCGGGACCTCTCTCATTAGCACCCTGGGGAGTGGAGTGCCCTGCTCGCCGGCTATTTTCACAGCCCTCCCGCACGCATGCGTCACAACGACAAGAGGGCGATTCACCTCTTGATTGCCTCGGTTCCGACCCAAACTAGATCACGGTTGTTAACCTGAGAAGGGCCAGGGCGCTGCCGCTCTGGGGCTGCGCGGAGCGGCGGGGCCGGGGGGCCGGGGCAATGCTCCAGAGTCATTTTATTTTCGAGGCTTGGTGGCGAGAAGAGTGAGAAAGCGCGAGAATAGCGCACGGGGATGAATGGAGAGAGAGAGAGACACAGACACAGACACAGAGAGAGAGACGGATGCAGAGAGGGAGAGGATGAAAAGGACAGAGAGGGAGAGACAAGGAATGAAAAAGAAAGAGCGGGGAAGAGGGGATGAAAGGGAAAGAGACAAGGAAAGAAAAATAGAGGAAGGCAGTCGACCGGGATCAACAACGCTGTTTTCGAGACAGACCAAACAATTTGACAAGTGTTTGTGAAGAGACTATGTAACGTGAGCAAACACGCTGCCCAACTTGCGAATACCGGCTCACTATTTGGGGTGCGTCTGGAAAAATACTATCGGTTGTCTGCGGCTGGTTTGGCATCTCTTCAACGAGCTGTGCGAATGACAGCCAGATACCCTTTCCCACTCGGTGTGTGCACTACACTGAAACGAGAATCCGCTTCAAAACTAACAGAACCTCGCCTCCTATGGATCACGGTCAACACACATCCCACCCCCTTCTCTGAAACCCGATTTTGGTCTCGTTTCATATTGCCAGTAAGGAGGCAAAAATCACACACGATTCACCTGTACGCGTGAAGTGGTCGTTACCGATCCCTGTCCACGTCCACTAGATAATTTCTCCACAGACACACACACGCGAGCATGTACCACCGTCCCTACCGCCCCTCTTCACACACAGGTGTGTCGTATTTGTAGTGAATTTCTGCCTACTTATCTTGCAACGCTGGTCCAGTTTTTGAGAAAGTTTGCGTGTTTCACGTGAGTCAAGTAAGTCAAGGATGATAGATCACGACCCTTGGGTCCGGTCCGGGGCGAGCGACCTTACCTCGTCTCGTGCTGTGCGAGTCTGGCTGGAGCCGGCTGTCGCGTCGCGGGGAGGGAAGCGGCGAGCACGTCCAGCCTGGCACTGAGGGGTGGGCTCTGGGGGGGCTCCTGCGTGTGTGTCGCGAACCAGTGCACTCGACCCTGCCTCCTGGGCCCTGCCCCACCCCTCCAGCCTCGCCCTCAACTTGTCCGCGGCGCTGCCCGCCGTGCACTGGCCCGCCCACCGCGCCTGTGGCTGCTGCTGGGCTGGACCGACCCGCCAGCGGGGGCGGCAGTGGGGGCAGGGGCAGTGGGGGCAGATCAGCGCAGCGGCAGTATGGTCACGAGCTGTCACGAGAGACCACGCTGGCCACAAGGGCCTAACAATGGTCCGCACTCGTGCAGCCGCCCCCTTCGCTCCCACTGAGGCTATAAAAAGACACGGCCGCCCTGGACACCCAGCAGGCTGCCTAGTCAAACCCGCACCAGCACATCATTAGTCTTCTTTTTCGTGACAGGCTAGGATTCCGTCTCGTGCAATAAGCGTGAAAGGGGTGCGGTGGCGGAGTCACATGGGGGCCGTGGGGGCCGTGCGCCTGCGTTATCATCATCTTCTGGCTCTAAACTGGAGCTGTAAAGCTAGGCCCGCGAATGGTATCAACAGGCTCAAACCGCACTTCTCTCAGCCAGTAAGTGTAGTGAAAACGTGTGGAGTCCTCTCTGCATGGTCCGACAATGACTAGGGCATTATCACTCCGTTTTGACTCTGAAAATTGCTTTCTCCTGCGTTGGCGTACGACCACAGTATGTGGTATGAGTAAATCAACATACAGATAAACATGAAAAAAGAAAGAAGAAAAAAAGACTCTGGCTTCGGACGGCAAATGATAATGTATGCCGTTTACAAATCAGCAAAACGCAAAACTCGAACAGAATCAAACACAGTGCAATTTTTCCACACTGCACAGGTACATGCTATGCCGTGCATCTTCCCAGGACCAGCCTTGAGATAGGCCGCAGCGGTGCACAGGTGCGAGAGGGTTTGCCTACCTCCGATCCCACAGGCGCCTCATAGACCCCGCAGCCCGCAGCCCGCAGCTGCGCCCAGCGCCACTTCAACTTCAACACGCGGCCCTATCGCCCTCGAACATTGGACCAATACGAACGACTTCAAATCAAGGACTCGGCGGGTCGTTGGCGCCGTCTGACATTTGATGCCCTGTAAGCACATCTCCGCTGCTGTCCATCAAGTCGGCGGCGATGCGACCTTTACGGACCTTTACAACACCCGCTGCCCCTGTGCCTTCAGGCTCACCGAGGGAAATACTTACATCTTTGGCACACGCTTAGCGAGGCTCGCTACAGCACGACACACACATGCCTCGATAAGAGATAAAAGTTATGTCAAGAAGCGGACAAAAGTACCGATTTCGACCTCCTCGGCTGGGACCATGAACTTTCCACGCGGGCAATGCCCAGGGGGGACGTTTCGACGAAAGACTTTGTGTGCAACAATTTAATTCAATAGTTGTAAAACAATAGAGGTTTTCAGTCGGTATTTTTGTCCCTGAGAGTTTTTTGGAATGTTTGGTGTCTAGTCAGTGTCAAAGAGGTTGCGCCGCGAAGAGGAAGGGCGGAGGGCGCGCGCCCGCAGCTCGTCCTGGACCTGGACCAGGGTCCTCCCGCGGGTCTCGGGCACCACGAACAGGGCGAACAGCGCGATGAACAGATTGGTGCAGGCGTACACGCCGAACGGGATGTAGTAGCCGGCCGAGTCTCCCACCATTTTGAAGAACACCTGGATGCCGAACGAGCTGAGCGAGAGCACCACGGCGGCCGCGGGCGCCACGAGCATCTGGCGGGCGGGCGAGAGAGAAAACAATAAGTTATTGTTGGCAGATTGATCGGAGGTGAGGGTTTATTGTGAGCGATCCCTTGATCCCAGAGCGAGCCCGGGACTCTGGCCCTTGTGCCTTATCGGACGACGGGGACCGGTTCCCCCGACAACAGTGCGGAAGGTTGCAGGGACTCGGCTCACCTTTGCCGGCTGGCTGAGCAGCTCGCCCTGCAGGATGTGCGACACGGGGATGACGCCGGCTCCGGTGGCCGCCATGAACACGATCAGGGCGGCGAGGGGCACCCACTGCGCGGGCAGCACGTCCACGCCGAGGCGGGAGCACAGGAAGTACGCCGTCATGGCCAGCATGGCGACGAAGTTGATGAAGGCCGTGGCGCTGAGCTGTACTCGCCGGCCCAGCCGCTCCACCAGGAACATGGCCGCGAAGATCATGACGATCTGCGGGCAGAGACGGTTAGGTCTTAGTACAAAAGTGCACTATGGAGGGAGTGCAGGCTGCAAGGCTGCATACCGCGCCACTCTCACCTTGACCCCGATGACCAGATCAGACGAGAGCCACGCGTGTGGCGTCTTGGCCTCGTCGAAGATGTGCTTGGTGAAGGAGAGCACGGTGGTGACGCCGAACAGGGCCGGCGACCCGCTCAGCACCATGACGATGAGCGCGGCCCGCTTCACGCCCGGCGGCGACAGCGTCTGCCGCCAGGACTGGGCCTCGCTCAGCTGCCGCTCCACCGAGCCGCGGATGGAGGCCATCTCCTGGAGGACGAGGGCGGGTTCGTGGCCACGCCGGACCCTCAGCAGCACCTGCGGACAACGTCAAACTCAGTGAGTAAAACATGAAAACCGGGCAGTTTAAACAAATAATTGTATACTGCTAGATATCAAGCAATCCATGAAAGTTAGAGAGCGTGGTTGGGTTGGTTACCACACCCGGCACAGCATCACCTTCCTAGCCTCGTCGTAGCGGCCGTGCATCATGAGGAAGTAAGGCGTCTCCGGCGTCCACAAGAAGTGCAGCAGCACGCACACTGCCAGCAGCGCCGTCGGGGTCGCCAGCTGCAAACGCGCACGAGGGGGGTTACTATAGGATGTGGGGGTTTGTGGGGCGCCGGGAGGGGGACGACGGTCTGCTCACGAGCTGCCAGTAGTCGAGGTGCGGGGCGAGCAGGAACGACAGCAGCTGGCCCGAGGGCGCGAGGATCGTCATGACGAGGATGAGCACACCGCGCATCAGCGGGGTGGCCACCTCCCCGAGGTAGATGGACGAGTAGGTGAAGTTGACGCCCATGCCGGCGCCCGACAGGAGGCGCGCCGCGTACAGGTAGCCGGCGGACGTGGCGAAGTAGGTGAGCAGCAGGTTGACGAGGAAGAAGAGCGCGCCCACTCGCAGCGTGTGTCGGCGGCCGAGGTGCACGAACACCGGCAGGCTGACCTGCGGGGCGTGAGCAGCACGTGAGAGGTCGCCGTCAGCACCGGGGACACAACCACAGGAGAGGAGGTGAGGTACTACTCACGACGGAGCCGACGAGCAGGCCGAGCTCAAACAGGGACACGATGAAGGACACCTCGGTGCTCGAGGGCGTGAATGGCCCGTGCCCGTGCGTCAGCTTGTCCACCCCGGCCGAGGACCAGCCCTGTGCCATGCCCTGCACCAGGGTCTGGAACATGAGGCCGGCCGCCGCCTGGCTCTGGCACAGCACGGACTTCCAGCCCGCCGTGGACACAGCCAGGGGCGGTTGGGCTGGGGGCGGCCGCGCCGCCTCCAGGGATGCGTCTCCCGCGCCCGGCTCGGCCCCCTGGCCAGGGCCGCGCCCCTTGGCGGGCTCCTCCGCGGCGGACATGAGACCACCTGCAGGAGGAACGAATGATCAATGAGGGAGTCAGTCAGAGTGCTGTGTTGCCGTAGAAGATAGTGTGCGGTTGTGCACGTGCATGTGACTAGGTTTCTTGGAACAAGCAAAGTGTCTAAATTTCCTGCTCCATCTGTGACCCGGTCTCTGAGAAGCCCTCCCCCCTCCCACCAGGCCGTGGGGCCGCGAGAAGCTGACGTGTCAGGCACTGACTTCAAATCAAGATGCAGAGAGGCCGGGTTTTGCACATCGTGTTTCAAGTTCATAATATAATAAAATGATTTTTTAAAAACTGGGATCGTATATCTGTAAACAACAACTATTTCCGGCATTTGAACGCGACAAAACGCTACTCCAGTTGCGTGCGCGTCGCGCTACCGATGAGCGCTCGCTGGATCATCGTTGCCTTACGTAAGCTAGTACAGCCGGGCCGGGCCGGCGTGCCGCTCTACTGTACCTGATGGCGGGCTGAGCTGGACAGAGGAGGAGAGGGAGGCCGCGAGGCCCCGCGAGCCCCGAGCGACGCGATGGGCCCCTCCACACACACACACACACGTCGCGGCCCGGGCCCGACTCGGCTCGGCTCGGCCCGGCAGCGCGAACGGCACTGACTCGGCGGTGTCCGTGCACCGAGCTGCGCACCCACACACTTACCGGCCGCGACAGCCGCGGGTAACCGCGGGCCGCCCCGGCTGACGCGTGCCCGTCCCGCCGCCCCGCCACCAGGCACCGCCACTGCGCGAGATAGCGCACCTCTCTGTTCGATGATAGAAAAACAGGCCCAGGTGGACCTACGAGTCAAGATTTAGTACGAGGCCCGAGTCACGCCCCCGCAATCGCACACCTCGCTACCCGCCCTCGACGGGGTCCTCGAGTGGTTTTCACACCTTGTGATTCCGCACAGCGCTATCGTACCTCCGCGCTTGTCACACTCGCATTAGGTGGGAGAGAGGGGGGGGGGAGAAGACTAGCCACTGGGCGGGATCACCCTGCTGGTCCTGTTGCTGCCCGACGACGTGACGCCGCCCGGTTTGAACCTTCCCTCGAAAGGCGGGGCGAGTTTGTCTGGTAAAGGCGGGAAAGGGGAGAGGGGCGCGAGATTTCGAGGGGTGTGGTGCCAACCTTACTCTTCAAACTTTACATTACAAAATGGAGAACAAATCTTTCAACACCCCTGAGCTGTAATCGATTCACTTCTGCTTTGCTCGTCACTCGCCGCAATGACAGTGTCAAGCTTTCTAATACATTTATTTGACATAAACTATGAACCCTGGCCGCATGGACGAACCGGCACATCTCCCTTGGCCCAACCACTCCTCAGCCAAGCCGGGCACACCAGTCAGTAGGGAGCGGAAGTGAGCAGGAGCAAGTGCAGGTCGCAGCGTGAAAGGTGCTCAAGAGCGTGTCGCCGTTTTCAGAGTTGGTCGTGTCTTCAAGATTTTAAACTGCCCAGTCGTTCAGAGATACATCACTTGCGTCAATCATGTCGAGCATGCCGAAGGATACGTGCACCGAGTGCAGGCAGACGAAACGGTCCTCGGAAGTGACCACGTACGACATGTGCAACAAGCACCGGCTCTGCAAGGAGTGTGTGTTGAAGCAGCCGAGTGTGCGCACCCGGGCGACCGCAGTGCAGTGCCCCGTCTGTGAACTGGTGAGTAGTACGCAGCCGAGCCGCCGTCCCTGCGGCGAGGACGACGATGTCGCTCTGATGCTCAAACCTCGCCGCTTGTGTTGTGTTTACAGTCCCGGAGACGCCTGGCTGTCACGGTCCGCGCCGATCTCGCGAGAGAAGAGGTAAGTTGTTTTGAGGTTGTTGCTGCCCTGTGAAGTTTGGCCCGCTTGCTGACCGGTGCGCCGTCTGTCCCTTCAGCGCTCCAAGGTGCAGTGCAAGGTGTGCGACAGGTACGGGCCTGGCACGCTCATGAGTTGCGGCCACGGCTACTGTCCGACCTGCGTCCGGACGCTGCCCAAGTCCGCGCTCAGCCGCAACCTGGACGGCACGATCAAGCGCGGCTGCCCGGACTGCGAGAAGGTGAGCGTCACCTGCCCTCATCTCGTCTTGCCTGCTTGCCCTATTTTATTCTGACGGACGTGCCTTGCCTGCCTCGTTTCAGAAAGCTGCGCAGGAGTTCCGCGAGGAGGCCCGCTCAGCCATGCAGCACGCCGAGAGCTGCGCGATGCTCGAGCGGGACGCCCGCGAGCACCGCGAGCGCATGGAGGACATCGCCCTGCTCCGCGCCACCAAGCCCCGCAAGCGCCAGGCGCCCAAGGCCCCCGAGGCTCGCCCGCTGACTGTCCCGAAGGGGCCCGACTTCGCATGCACGGCGCCCAAGCCCAAGCCGGTGAGTAAACCCTCTCACTAAACATTCTGTGACTTTGGCTTTCGGAAGCTGACGTGTGCCCTTTTTTTCAGTCGATGAAGGCCGCCTCCGCACCCCATCTGGCCGCCAAGCCCTCTGGCAAGAAGGCGCACGCGTCCGGCGCCACCGTGGACCGCAAGGTGTCCTTCAACCCCATGGTGGAGCACAAGATCATCACGCCCCTGCAGCGGAACAAGCGCCTCTCTCTACCCGGTACGTCTTGTGTGACTAGAGGAACTCCCATTCGTTTGTTGGACGATTTGTGAATTTCGTATCTGTTTTCACAGCTGCTGCCGGAGCTGGGCCCTCGTCCGCGACCGCGAGACGGCTGCGCAGCGATCATCACAGCGATCTGTCTGATTGTGAACCAATGTCCCCTGTGGAGAAGCTTCGTACCTTCAGCCGCCACTGGGGCGTCAACTCACCCTGAGCCAAGGGGTTTTATGATATGAACACTGTATAGGACCTGAAACGACTCCGAACCTTTTTAATTTATACTTTAAAGAACTTATTTTATCTATCGAACTTAAACTAGTTATACTTCCAGATGAACTAATCATCGAACTCAAACTTATTCTTAAAATGTGTGAAA